GCCGACGACTTCTCTGCGGTTGGCGCCTCTGCCGACGGCTTCTCTGCGGTCGGCGCCTTGGCCGACGGCGTCTCTGCGTTCTTCTTCGACGTCGACGACTCCCTTGTCGTCTGCCGCTTCCCGTCGCTGACCTTCTTGGCGTCACGTTGGCCACCGGCGATGCAACCGGTCGGCACCGCAGGCGACGCACCAAGTCTCCCCTCGTCGCCGACAGCCGACGAGGATCCCTGAACAAGGGGAGGGGGTGACGCCATCTATGTCGTCCTCATCAAGCTCGTCGTCCGCGGCGAGCAGTGGAGGGTGCACTGAGGAGGAATCGGTCGGCGGGGTAGAGGGCGTCCTCGTCGACGCCGGCCCGTACTCCACCTTCCACATCTCCATCGACAGGGTCTCGTAGAAGATCGCTTTGACCATCGTGACGACCTTATTGTCCGTCAAGTCGAGCACCTCCCAGCCCTTTCTCTATGCCGACACTTCAAGGTGAAGACCCGAATGGGCCTTCGGCGCCAACTTCCCGCCGCGCCGCTGGTCGGGGACCATGAACTGCACCATGCAGCCCCACACACGCGCTAGCGTCAAGTCCAGCTTCTTCTCGAACAGCAGCTCGTGCGGCGTCGTCCCTGAAGGCAGAGAAGCCCGTTCGAGGCAGTTGCGCACCCAAACGGCCTGTCGCAGAGCGAGGTGCCACCGGTGGTGCTTCACGCCCATGTGCAGAAGCATCGTCCGCACGGCCTCGACAACCGTGCGCATCTCCTGCTCCGCCATGCCATTCTGCTGCGGGGTGTAGGGGCACGTCAGGTTGTGGAGAATGCCCATGTCTTCGACGAGGTCGATGAAGGCGCGACCAAGGAACTCCCCTCCGCGGTCAGAATGCAGCATCTTCACCGTCTTCGAAGTCTGCCTCTCCACCACCTTCAGCCATTTTTTGAAGACGACCAGCACGTCGCTTTTCTTCGCGACCGGCCTCACCCACACGTAGCGAGTCTTCCTGTCCTTCAGCAGAAGAAAGTAGAGACTGCCATTGTTGGCGGCCACTCGAAACGGCCCGCAGAGATCGATGTGCACCACGTCGAGCGCATTCTCTGTGTCCGATCCTTGGTCGGGGAAGGTGTGCCGCGCAATCTTGCCGCCGACGCAGGAGGCACACAACAGATCATCTGCGGTCAAGTTCTTGATGTCGAGACCGGTGGCGACCTCATGCTTCCCCAAGCTCTTGATCGTGTCGACGCCGACGTGCGCAAGTCGAGCGTGCCACATGTCCGAGGTCGACTTCGTCGCAGAAGCGATCGTTCGCAGAGCCACAACCTCCATCGAAGTCGTCGTTGACTTGTCGAGCAGGGGCGCAAGTCGATGCAGAGAACTCTGCCAGGGTAGCGTGCTCGACCAAGGACATCGCCGGCAGAAGACACCAGCAGCATCTCTCCGCCGTCGTCCTGTAGCTTCACGCCGTTCTCCTTGAGCTAGCCTGTAGACAGGAGGTTCACCTGCACACCCGGAACGTAGAGCACGTTTGGGACGAGAACCTGCTTCCCGGCCTCCCCTTGTAGAGCGACGGTGCCTCTGCTCTGGATGCTCTGAAGTGCCCCGTTGAAGCCGCGGACGTGGCGCACGTAGCCGCTCGGCTGCATGCCGACGAAGGCCTCCTTTGTCCCCATCAAATGGTGGGAGCAGCCACTGTCGAGCAGCGCGATAGTCAGATTGGCTTGCACAGCAGAAGCGACCGCCTTGAAGTCTTCGCCCGCCTCCAGCGCCAGTGAGATCGTCAGCTCCACCACGACGACCATCGAACACGAACCCTCCTCGTCACGAGCATTGCCGCCAGAGGAGTCGGCATCCTTCGTTGAAGGCGTCTTCGACGCCTACTTCTCCGTGCGCGGCTGGTTGTCTCGACGACAACGGCCACCATCTGACTTTCTGCGGTTGGCATCCCGATCGTCGTCAGACTCGTCTCGGTCGGGGCAGTCGTACGAGAGGCGGTCGAGAGCATCGCAGATGTAGCAGCGACGTCCTTCTCGACGCGAGCCACTGCTGCCGCGATCTCCTCCTTTCGCCGACTTTCCGCGGTCGGCGCGCTCCGTCGATTTCGCGTTCGACGACTTCCCACCACCGCCTTTGCCATACTTCCCACGCTGCCCCTGTTGGCGTCCCTGCTTCGCCGAGGCGACGTAGTTGGCCTGCGGAAGCAATTCTGCAGGCCGCTCAGACTCCTGCATGAACTCACCCAGGATGATGTGGCTCGAAAGAGAGTCCTCGTTCAGAGTCCCGCGCGTGCTGGGAACTGTCAGCATCCGGCGCATTAGATTGTAGCCCAAGGGGAGGCCACTGATGACATGTGTGACATACGACGCCACCGAGTAGTCGGCGCCGACCATCCGCAGATCAGCCAAAACTCGCCGCACTCGATTGCAGTACTCGTTCGCCGATTCCTGCTCCCTCATACGAATGTTGGTCAATTTCTTCTCCAGTTGGCTAATGTAGTGATCGTCGGGCGCTTTGTAGGTGCACATGATGTACTGCCATGCTTGGTAACCAGCATCCACCCGAAGTCTGCACGGCTTCAATGCGACTTGCACCAGCGGCAAGCAGCACCTCGAAATGACCATGAAGGTCAGAAGGTGAGCTGCGCGAAATTCCGACCAGAGCTCGACATCATCCTCGTCCGGTGCCAACACATCTCCGTCAACGAACTTCTTCAATCCGGCGCTCTCCAACTGAGGTTCTGATCAAGTCGTGTCGACCTTCGAGCAGCTTCGGCATAACAATCTTGTCCGGCGAAAATTTAAAATAACCATACGCCGGCGCGATGCCTCCATCTCGACCACCCAACACGAGTCGCCGATACAGCCTGACTCCACTCTGCCGGGGAGAATGACGTCGACCGTCGAAGTTCGAGCTTCCCACTGCCGCCGAATGATCGCGTCTGCACTCTGCCGATGCCAACATCGGCGGCCCGAATCACTCCGCGGGTCTCCCTCGTGCCTCCTTCACTGTCGACTTGGTGACCCGTGGAGTGATTCGGTGACGCGCTCGTCAACGCCACCTTCGTTGCGTGTCGGTCGGGGAGAGGAGGATGTATTGTCCGCTCCAGTACGGGTCGTAGGGTGATCGCGCGCCCATTGCACACGAGTTCCAAGGAGCAGAAACTCCACGTCCGCTCCGCCGTACTCGCTAGCTGCGTGGCGTGCCCAAAAATCATCTAACCGCGCCTGCATGGTATCCTCTACACCTGCGGCGACCTCCTGGTCGACCATGGCGGTCTAGACGGCTGCTGGCCTACAACGACTTAGGTAAGGTGCAAACATCGGCTCGTATCTGAAGGTAAGTTGCGGGGTCGTTGCCCGCTCACCGCACCATGCGAAGAGTCACTACACAATGGGAGTGGACTACAGAGGAGGGCATGGGGTTGTGCGAGTGATCGGAGCGTTGCACTAATGTTCTTACTTCTTGCTAATGTTCACGGAGAAGTTTGGCAAGAGTTTCACTAAGAAAAGTTGAAAAAACATTGAACATTGAAAAGTTGAGAGTACAATGAGACAAGCAAAAAAAAGATATGACTAGAATGGCATGCAACACCTAGCAAGCACTCTGCAGGGCGAACTCTGCCAGCGTAGCAGAAGAGCGGCTTGCAAACGCTGCAGCAGAGCGGTCTGCCAACGTTGCACTGCGCGGGGTCTGCCAACATTGCAGTCGCAGGTGACTGTCTGCAGTCGCAGGTTGTCTATCTGCGCAGATGTGCGCACCTACCAATTAGGTGCAGGTTGACGGTTTCACCGTCAGGCACATTGCGCAGGTGCCACGTAGAAAACGTGTCGTCGGTTTCGCCAGGTGCGCACCATCGACCACGTGATGCAGTTCCACATGTCGAACTTTGCCAAAACCTCCTGGGCGAAGTTTCGCACACCTCCGCAGAGTTTCGCACACATCTGCGAGTTTGGTCAAACAACTCGACCCCGCTCGGTCGAACAGCGTTCGCCGTGCAGAGCTCGTTTCCCAGAGCTCGTCGACTAGAGCTCGTCATGCAGAGCTCGTCGACCAGAGCTCGTCGCGCAGAGCTCGTCGACTAGAGCTCGAACGGAGCTCTTCGACGCAAGCTCGAACGGAGCTTTGTCGACCAGCGCTCCTCGACGGACCTCGTCGACCATCGCTTCTCGACGGGCCTCCTCGACCGCTGTCTTCGACCAGCGCTGCCCGTCGACGATGTCCACCAGATTCTGTCGAGCAGAGCTTGCTCGACCGCTACCTCCGTCGAACTGCAGAAGCCCACTTCCACGACCAATCCGTCGCGGACTTCTCGTTGACGGCGAGATCGGCTGCGCCCAAGCGAGGACGGGGCATTTCTCTTCGAAAAGCACAACAAACTTGCACAAGCGTTAGGCAACACTACGATCACCTCGTACAACCTGTAGCCTCCCACGTAGTTTACCTCCTGTTGTATACAACTGTCCGCACCTTCAATGTCATCATGGTGGGTGCGTACAAATGCACACAGATGCACCGAGCAGTCTTGGTGATTGCTCGTACCCACACCAATCTGCTGCGGGGAGTGAGGAGAGATGTGTGCCTAACAAATGCCATGGGTTTGGCAATTGAAGGTTTTCTGACAAATGAAGAAGTCGCCACTACCATCAGAATGAAGGCCCAACACATTCTTGACTTGATGCTCTTGAGAACCACTATCAAAGACAACCTTCCAACTCAAGTCCCTAAAAGTAAGAATCGAATATTTCTAACAGGTTCTACTGGCCAGTTTCTCACTTATACATCTATTTCCTATGCTCCTTTGCCTCTCCCCATCCTCCCGTATTGTAACGCATGCAGCGAGAAACACTCTAACCAGCGACATCAAATTCCATGTGTGGTGTGCCACTCCTCCTCTCCAGCAAGGCCCTCACTTACACATCTCTTTCATGTGCTTTTGTGCCTCTCCTTTCTATAAACCCCAACCACCCGTCTTGCAGCGCACGCAGCGAGCAAGACTCTAGCGGGCCACGTCACATTCCATGTGTGGTGTGCCGCCACCCCTCACCAGCAAGACCCTCTTGCAATCGCTTCTCGTCCCACCACACCTCGTCCCACCACACCTCGTCCCACCACACCTCGTCCCACCACACCTCGTCCCACCACCTCTCTTCCCACCACCCCTCGTCCCACCACCCCTCAGTCGTCCACCCCTGAGCCGTCCACCCCCCGTCCTGCCACCCCTCGTTCTCAAGGCTCCAGCACACCGATTTCTTCCCTCCTTGCTTCTTCCACCCCATGGCAATCCCCCCCTGACCTCAATTCATCTCAAGCCCCTCAAGCCCCTCAAAACTCCCACACCCTTCCCACTACTTTCAACCCTCCAGCCTCACCAGCTCCTCAATCCCCCAAGTTCCCACCACTATCTCCAGCCCCTGCATCTCTGCACATCTCCACAGCCTAGCAGCAGCTGGCAGAGTGTGTACATCGCTTTCCCCCAGACACCCGCCTGATGTGCACCCCATAGAACCTCGCAGCACCCCTTGGAAGTCGCTCCAAAAAAACGGAGAGTCAGGATGGGAGGTTACTGGCAGGGCTAGGAGGGCTAGGAGCGGCGGGAGGGCTGGGAGGGCTGGGCCTGCTGGGAGGGTGGGGAAGGGGGAGTGGTGCAGGGACAAAATGTGTGGATGAGTGGCAAAACGCAGGTGTGGAGAGTGGTAGAGATGGGCGGGTGGAGAGTGACAAGGGAGGGCGGCTAGAGAGGGAGGTGGCGGTGTGGGTGGAAGGGGTGTGCAGGGCAAGAGGGGAGGGCGAGTGGATGGTGGTGATGGCGTGTGAGGATACGGGCGGTGGTATTCCACCCGAGGAGATGCGGTGGGTGCTGGATCCGTATGGGGGCGACCTTCACCACTCCACGTGCTCCTCTGCTGCTGATGATGCTGCTGCTGATGGTGACAACAATAAGCAACGAAGAGTCGCGGTGAGTGAAGCAGGACATGAGCATGTGCGTGTGTGCATATGGTTACATTGGATGCTTGTATGCATTGGATCTACCGTCCCGTCCTTCATGCCGCTTTTGGTTTTCTCTATTCTATTCTCTACCCAATTCGTAATTCGCGTACTTGGCCCTGGCCCACCTCTTTCCCCACCTTCTCCCCTTACCTTCCTTTCCATCTCACTCCTTAACCCTCCCATATTCCTCTTTCACCCTCCTTACCCTCCTCGTACTTTGTCTCTGTTCCTCCTGCTTTTTGTGTCCTTGTTCTGAGGTGCGCACAGGAGCCAAGGAGGGGCAGCAGAGCCACTCCTCTCACGCATGACGAGAGGGCTGCTTCTCGCCCTGCCTAGACGCCCTATCCTGTCTGCTTCCTCCTCTCCACCTCCCTCGTGAGTGATGCAATGCAATCCTCAACTGAATCGTCTCCTTGGAGTATCTTGGCGTCGAAATTGACAGGTCTGGTTGCCTGTTGTTGATGACATGCCGTTGAGTTTGCTAAGGCTGGAGTGAGCACTACCAGCTTGCAAAGGACAGCGAACGGATCCAGGATGTTTAAGAGACAGTTGGTTAATCGGGTGGTTTGAGATCTGCACGAGAGCACGGATGTGTACAGATCCATGTGAAGGCTACCTCAGATAGGGTGTCCACTTGTCATAAAGAATGCAACGCTGTTGCGCATTGGGATATGAAGGTGGAGAAGTATTGAAGGCTGAGGATTATAAAGGGTGTCATACCTGAAGGGGCCCTTGTGAGGGCATGCACCACATGCCTCCACTCACAACCCTCTCCACTCCTCGCTGCCGCTCTCCTCTCCTCCCCACCCTTCTCCTTCTCCCCCAGGTGGCGGAGATGCGGGGAAGCATGGCAGTGCTGTCAGACAGCGCCACAGGCACCACCATCTTGCTGGTGCTGCCCCTCTCCACACCGTCCCCCCCAACCGAACCTGGCAGCAGCAGCAGCAGCAGCAGGCAAGGGGAGGGGCAATCCAGAGGTCTGCAGCAGTGGATGGGGGTTCCTAGAGGGCTTTCCCGGAGCTCCTCTTTACACTCCCTACCGTTAAGCCCAGTAGCCCCTTTAAGCCCACTCAACCCTTTTAACCCAGTTGCCCCTTTGAGCCCAATAGCCCTGTTAAGCCCAATAGCCCGGTTAAGCCCTGCAAGCCTGCGGCTACAGGGCATGCCACCGTTGCATCTCCCTTTAGTAACAGGCAGCATGGGGAGCAGCTTGGGGGGGAACAGCTCGGGGGTTGTAGGGGATGGTGTGGGCGGCAGTCTGGGCGGCGGAGTGGGCGGCGCAGAGGCGGCGGTGCAGGCGGTGGTGGCGGGGCGACGGGTGGCAGTGGTGGATGACAACGCGGTGAACCGCATGGTGGCGCGGCGAACACTGCAGGGCTACGGGGCTGACATGCTGCTGCTGGCCTCGGGAGAAGACACCCTGCAGGCTCTCTCCTCGCCTCTCTCTCCCTCCACGTCCCTCCAACTACTGCTGTTGGATCTCCACATGCCTCCTGGCATCGATGGGTGAGTGCCTCTCTACGTCAACCCCACATCCTCGGGAGGGGATGCTTTGCAAGCTCTCTCCTACAACATGGACTCCTCTCCCTCTCCCTCCTCGCCCATCCACCTGCTGCTGCTAGACCTCCACATGCGTCCTGGCATCCATAGATAAGGGACTCTTTGCCTCACCTCCACCCACCCTCCTTGCTTTTGTGGGTTTCTGCTCTGCTCTGCTCTGCTCTCTCTCCTCTCTCCTCTCTCTCATGCTGCTCTCTGCACGTCGCCGTGCAATGTAACAACCTGAGCTGCTAGTCACCATTCCTTTAAATTGTGTCTGTTAATTTTGTTTCGGTTGCCACGTTTGGCACGGTTCTAACTATGTTCTGTACTCTCCCCCCTTGCCACGTTGCGGCAGATTCGAAATGGCTCGTTGAATCCGGCGCATGGAGGCAGCACAGCGGGCTGCGAGCGTGATAGATGCAACAGCAGCACCAGCATCAGCAGCAGTCACAGCAAGTGAAGAGGCAAACGAGTTCACGTTCCACACGTCTCAAGAATCAATAGCAGCCAATGGTCCATACAACGACTTTGCTTTCCACACGTCTCAAGAGTCACCAGCAGCTGAGGAGGCAGCGATCGAATTCACCTTTCAAGCCTCTCAAGAGCCAACAGTAGCAGCTCTCAAGGCAAAGATAGAAGAAGCGGCGGGTTTGATAAGGGCCTCTCCCCAGCGGCTGTGCATCATAGCACTGACGGCAGATCTGGATGTTGGGGTGAAGCGAGCGTGCTTTGAGGCGGGGATGGATGGAGCCATGCGCAAGCCCATAGTGGCGCATGAGCTGCTTGCAGCACTCGTGGACGCGGAGTTTGCAGATGGTGAGATAGACGATGCGCGCGTATTGTAGTGCTTCCCTGGATATTTAGTGTGCCAACGGAATTCACGCACGTGGAGCATGAGTAGGGGTTCTTAGTTTGATATCGTGAGTGTGCTACCTGCTCTTTTGGGGTTTCCAGCCAGGGCACCATGAGCATCCCCCTTACATTGTTTTTGCCTCTAATAATCAAGCTGTGGTTACTGAGCAACACTACGAAATACACAAATCTGGTTTTACAACAAGCACAAAAGTTTGCGATCCCAGGAGCAAATAGCGGCTGACATACGCTTCTTGAAATCAGTGCACCTTGAGACAATTGCATCACAATGACACATTTTAGGGCTCTCATCATAATACTAAATTAGCAAGAGGGACTTCGTTTCAAAATGGTTTCTTATGCCTCATACTCGCGAACACTAGCGAATATTCTGGTCGACCAATTTGTCGACCAGTCGCTGCGATGTTACATGCCCTAAGGGCGTGTAACCATTTTGATTATTTTTTAACCGGACGGTCCGAAATGTGGACCGTCCGGGTGAGCGAAGGGTTACCAAAATCGCATTATTTCGTAAGTGTGTTCGTAGACCTCCTTGCGACGTTGCACACAAACCGAACCGTCATGACACTTTTTTGCGTTTCCAATGGTCCGAAATGTGCATTCCGGACGGTCCACAACCACAACGGACGGTCCGCCAGTTCTGCGCAGAGATTGGCGCGCGAATTTCACCCTGCAACATTGTCGAGTCGCATCGCAAACATTTGGCAAACATGCGCCTCGAACGCATGCAATGTACGCTATGTCACATTTGTGGGTGAACGTTCACTACAAAATGAAGTCATGAACTCACGGAACCAAACCACAATTCGTCCTCACAAACATGGATCCCTCCCGTTTTGCCTAGTCTACCGCACCGACTGACACCGAGCCGAGTACCTCTCCATCTGCTCAAACCGACGCTCCTCTAGTACCTGGGGCTCCCCTTCCCGAGACTCAAGAGTCTCAGATCCCAGGTCCAAGCAACGCGAACAACCCTCCTCACGCTAACACCGCCGTCACTCCCGTAGACTGGTGGGTGTATCGTCTGCCATCACCGTCCGCTAGTTACGACGCCGATGACGACTACAGTCTGGGCACCGTCGGAGGTGACGTAAACGATGTGGGTGAAGTTGAGGAAGAGCTCGCTCCGCATGAAACGACCCCGGCCAGCAACATTGCCATGACATCGCGCCGTTCAACTGCCAAGACCACTCCTCGCTGGACACCTGAGGAGGAGTGCAAAGTCCTCGCAACCCTCATCGATCTGGACGCACAGATACGCGCCCGCACGGGTCAGCAGGGCCGTGGCTGGTACCCCTTGGTCCAGCGGGAGCTGCTGCTTCGGGATCCGGCCTGGAGGCATGACGTCACGGCACTCAAGGTGAAGTACAACTGGCTGAAAGAGACATGGCGCCGCATCAACGACCGCATCAAGCGCTCGGGGGCGGGGCGTGCAATGGGTGAGCGTCCCAACACTGTACCCCCTGTCCTTGCAGGCACCGGGTTACCAAGCGCTGGGCCTGTGGAGATTGGCACCACAGCAACGCATGCGCCTTCCACAACGACGACATCAACTAATGAGGCCGCTGCTTCTACGTACCGTGTGCCATCACGAGCCCTCGTGACTAATATCGCAGCCACCAATGCGCCCATCACTACACCTACGCCAACTACTCTGCCTCCTACCCCGTCCCCGCCTTCATTGGCACCCCCGACTACTCCTCATCAATCGTCCACTACACCCACCGCTACGGCAACCACAACTGTTGCCGCTGCTGAGACACCGCCTTCTACCCTTGCTCCTTCAATGTCGGCCAGTCACAACCCAGAGTCTCCCTCACCCGCTGCGCCGAGTGCCTCAGCAACTCTATCTCGCCGCGGCCATGATACGCCACTGTCGCCCGACACAATCCCGCCGAGCACCAACCCAGATCTGCCGTCGGCCGAGCCCCCGTCAAGTGCGACGACGGGTATCTCGATCCGCAGTCGCCACCTCACTTGGGGAGCGCACACTTCGTCTGATGGAGGGGAAGGTTGTTCCTGCCACGCATGGTACCAATACCCCCCCAAACAGGATGACGCCAGCCGCGCCAAGAAAGGGAAGGCCGGGAACAAAGGTGTTGGGCGCAAGGCGGCGGGCAAGGCAAAAACTCATACCACGGCCGAGATGATGGGTGATCTACGGGATCATTTCGATAAAAAGCAAGACGAAAAATGGGAAGATTTTAAGGCTCTCACCTGTGAGGTGTTCCGTGGGTTTGCGGATGAGCGACGTAGTAGGTGGCGTACATCGCCGCAATCCACCTCCTCATCCAAAGACGAGGCGTGAAGCCGTGGACGTCCGTGTCGGTAAGTCGGAGCGCCGCCGCAGGACCGTCTAGCCACCATCGATGGCGTTCTCACGGTGGCCCAAGCCGATCTCGGCTCCCGATCGTCAGCTCAATGTTGTGCAGCGCCATGCAGGCGCTGACAACTTGCGGAACTCGTAGGCTATGGCATTCCATCCGACAGTCCAATATCCTCCACTTTCCCTTGAGCCGCCCGATCACTTGCTCAATAACCATGCGTTGCCTTGATTGTTGCTTGTTCCACTTGTCTTGATGTTCTGGCAGAGCCTGTCCCGGTGTAGCCCGCCACGGAACGCATGTGTAGCACTTCAGGCCATACGTGGCATCCGAGACAAGCATGTAGTTTCCGCGCTCCCCGGCCTCCATGCGCCGCCTCAATGGGGAGTTGTTGAAGACCCTAGAATCGTTCACGCTTCCGGGGTAGGCTGCATTATAATCCCATATTATGCCGTTAGAATCGCATGCTATTTGTAGGATTATGGAGTAGAAACCCTTATGGTTTTTAAAGTCCTCCTTGTCTCTGCCGAACCCCCTACACTCAATGTACGTCCCGTCCAGAGCACCTATTATACCTGGTATTGAAAGAAACCGTCTCACTCTTAATGACGCCACAGAATCTACTTGGCGAGCTAGGAGACTAGAACTGTTCCGACGGGCTCGGAGCAATGATTCCGTAGCAACTGAGATCACTGAAATCGCCCAAGTAACGAGAGAGCAATTGTATATTATGCAAGGAGGGATACACAAGTCGTCAATGGATTGAACTCTCTGTTTTTCTCTTTGGAATTTATAGCTATAACACACATGCATAAATGTAACATCTAACCGCGCGCGACTCGGCAGAAATTCGGACTTGGGATTGCGTCCAGTTTCCGCGACATCCGCGTTCATATTTTCAGACTTTGCCGGGTTCAATTCGTCACACCGAAAGCGTGTGTTACACGAAAATAAATCGAGCATAGCGAAATGTTCAAGAAACACTTCGCTAATTTCGCGGGTGCTTGTGGGGCTGCCAAGTGTCGCCCTCTCAAATTTTTAGACCCAACCATGGGCGAACTCGGTTGAGTGGCGACGCGGCCAATCCGCCGTCGACCGAACTTCCGAGAAAGAATCCTCCCTTGGTCCGAGTCAAGGGAGGTCTTCGCGTGGGGGGCAATCCACAGCGGCAGAAGCATGTCAACGATAAAATCTATGAAGCCTAGAACGATGCGTTGCGCATGCTGAGGCACCACCCCAAACTGGAGCCTGAGTTGACGGTATGTCGCTCCAGTCCCGAGGTAGACAAGCGCCATTGCGACGCATGTCTCTATTGCGGAGAGTCACTCTTCAACAGTCGTGAGCTAGACTACGGGGTGTTGGCACGAACTTCTAGGAGTGATCGTAGCTTTGCGTAGTTCCTTAGCACTTGCACATTCACAGAAGAAATCGGCAAAAGTTCCACTAGGCAAAGATTGCATTACGTAATGGTTGAACAAGCAATGACAGGAATGACTACATCAGGCACCTAGCAACTCTGCAGCTAGCCTGGTCGACCGCCAGCACAGCTTGGTCGACCGCCTGCCAGCGTTGCATAGAGGAGCCGGGCCAGCACTGCAAAAGAGCGGGTCGACGGCGTGCCAACGCTGCAGTAGAGCGGCTGTCCAGCGTTGCACCCATAGAGCACGGCAGTGCACACACTCGCAGGTGCGCGCAAACGATTGGCCCGAGTTGCATCGTTGTGCATCCGTCGGCTGATGTCTGCGCCTGACGAGCCACATCGACTTCGAGATACCAGCCCGAAGTCGCCTTTGCCATCGCAACCTTGACGACGTTCGCGTGCCTCTGCAGAACTCGTCGCGCCATGTCGACGAAGACCGCCTTCGTCCCCATCCGGTGGTGGGAGCACCCGCCGTCGAGCAGCACCGCCATTGGGTTGGCTTGCACAGCTGCCGCCACCGCCTGGAAGTCCTCGCCAGCCTCCGGCGCTAGCGAGACTGTCGGCTCCACCACGCCGACCATCGAGCATGACGCCTCCCCGTCGCCCCGGCTCTTGCCGCTGGAGTTGTCGACATCCTTCGTCGACGACATCTTCTTCGACGTCTGCTTCTCCTTGCACAGCTTCGCATCTCAACAGGGGCGACGACTGGCCGATCGACCGCGGCCTCCCTTATTGTCGTCCTCGTCGCTGTCATCGCGGTCGGGACACTCGAAGGAGAGATGGTCGGGGTCGCCGCAGATCCAGCACTCCCGTCGTCGACCACCACCTTCATGGCCCTTGCCCCGCGCTGACCTTTTCTCGTCGACGTCCTTCGTTGACCGCCCACCTCCGCTACCACCTCTGCCCGGCTTCCCGCCCTGCTCCTGATGACGAATCTGCTTCGTCGGTGCAGTGTAATTCGCCTGCGGAAGGGGCTCCGTGGGCTGCTCTGCCTCCTGCATCGCCTCATCTTGAAGGATGTAGCTCGTAAGGGAGTCCTCATTGAGGGACTCACGTGTGCCGAGCACCATCGTCATCCTCTTCATGAGGTTATAGCTGCGCGGCAGGCCTTTGAGGACGTGGGTGATGTAGGACGCCGTCGAGTATTCGGCGCCCGCCATCCGCATCTCAGCCAGGATCCGTCGAGCACGGTTGCAGTAGTCCGTCGCCGACTCCTGCTCGGCCATTC